GTGTGTGTGTGTGTGTGAACTCATACAATTGTAGCTTCATTAATGGGATTCATACGAATGTTTCGACTTCAATAGAATCTGGTTACCGAGTGAAGATTCAGCGGATTGAATTCTTGCTTTGTCTAAATTAATCTGTGCTTTTTTTTTCTTTAATATGGTTTTATTTTCATAATCAACAATCTTGGCAATAATACTATTATATCGGTTATCAAGTCACAGTGTTATGGAGTTTGAAGTTAACGACGTTCATATCGACAAGGAGCCCGATGGTTTCATTGTCTACTCAAATGGCATGACCCACGAACCGAATCTCGAAAATGCTGTCCCACAAGTTGGGGGCCAAGATCCTGAGCCTATCGGCTTTTGTCCGCAGTCTGTAGATATATCGGACGAGAACTCCGAACTGCAAGACTGTGAAGTGAAGAAATGCAACAATGACGAAGCAGCTGAGGTCGCACAACCTTGCCAAAGTGAAGAAAATGAGCAGGATTTAAGTTGCCTAAATAATGTTAAGGTTACTGAGGAAAGTTTGATGTCTGAAGGACAAAAGGCGGTTGATGATAGTAAGAAGGCACGTCTGTGTGCCAAGAAAGCCAGCAAACTAGTTGTTGGGAATTGTAAGACGAAATGCACAGTCCCACAGCCATTTGCTCTGGCTACAGAAAAGCGGGCTCTGAGTGCAGGTCGGGCTTATGGGTCTGAATCTGACAATACAGCTGCTGGAGACAAGGCAGCCCATGTCCGTGTTTCCCTACACCCGATTTTCGCAAAGCAGAATCGAGTATGTTTCCTTAAATAGAAACCTTTTGGGGTTTTATGCTTACTCTTCATATGGTGGTGTTGTTTCTACAATTTCTTCAGGGGATGATAACATAAAATAACCGTGAGGTTTACTCTATTACAAAAGAGATGCAATTATCTGTCAGTTTTATAAAAACCCTCTTTGAGTACTTTTAAAATTTGAAAGGTAGTTGTTCTTCGTGCCTTAATCGTTAATTTATCAGAAAGTATATCGTGACCTGGGGAGTCTTTTTTTAGTTTTCAGCATGGAATGTGATATCTATTTGCCTCTACGCCATCTAAAGTATATTCACCTCACTCTTGCATGGGATAACTGATTACTGATATTGAGCTCCTTTCCGCTGCAGACAGTCTCACCTGTTGCGGCAAAGAAGCCATTGCAACCCGAAAGCAAGAAGAACTCTGATGAAGATAATTGTTCAGTGGCCTCATCGTATGCTATCTGTGAATTCCCAATTTCGTCTTTTTTTTTT